TTGGGAATAGGGGATGGCATTTTTGCAGGAAGGTGGGTGGGAGGAGGAGTATTCTAGGTAGCCGTGGGATTCGGTGGGCTTGAAATGAATATGGGTTTCTAGGTGGTTGCCCGATATGGAAACAGAGAGGTCCAGGAAGGAGAGAGAGGTATTAGAAATGGTCCAGGTAAACTTAAGGTTAGGGTTGAAGGTGTTGGTGAAGTGGATGAACTGTTCGAGCTCCTCGTGGGAGCACGAGGTGGCGCCGATGCAGTCATCAATGTAACGGAGGAAGAGGTGGGGTTTAGGGCCAGTGTGGGTACGGAAGAGGGATTGTTCCACGTAACCTACAAAGAGGCAGGCATAGCTTGGGCCCATGCGGGTACCCATGGCCATCCCCTTTGTCTGTACGAAGTGGGAGGAATTGAAAGAGAAGTTGTTGAGGGTGAGGACGAGTTCGGCGAAGCAGAAGAGGGTGTCAGTGGAGGGGTCTGGTCGGGCCTGCGGGACAGGAAGAAGCGGAAGGCCTTTAGGCCATCTGTATGGGGAATGCAGGTGTAGAGGGACTGGACGTCCATGGTAAAGATGAGGTGTTGGGGTAGAAAAGTGTCTGTTTTATTGGGTTCCTCCCTTAGACACCCAGCACAAGTCACACTTAGCCGTAAATACAATAATTCTGAAACACTGACTGCAAAGACCAGTCCTGACCAAGCCAGAAAGAACTTGATTGATTGAGTAGTAGTACACTATTTGCCTATTCCTAAGTGCCCTCATATGTAAAGTTCAGGGCAGGGTCTGTTCAGACAAATTGTGATCAATGATTTTTTCTTAATATAGTTTTTGAACTAAAAGAAGTTAGGAAAAATATCTCTCTCAAATATTTCAACTGACCTTGGGAGGCAGGATCTTGTTCCACACATTAGGTGGACTGTGGCCTATCGCCCCCATATTCTGAAACAGTCTGTCACGTCCGCAACCGGCAACTCTGGATCAAACGGGGGAAGAAAAAAAGTAAAATTCGATCATTGGACAACCATAACCATCACCACCACTCCACAAGCCCGAACA